TATATCATGATATACTATGATATACTATAATATACTATAACATACTATAATATACTATCATATACTGTAATATACTATAGTATATTATAAACTACGATAAGATACTATAATGTACAATAATATGCTATAATATATTATAATATACTAGGCAGGTCCTGGATTCCTGCAATTCTGGTACTGACCTCTGTGGACTATGATCCCAGGCCGTGCAAGAGGTTGTTTACCCAATCGGACTTACTCAGCTTGCTTGCGTATATCATAGTATGAGATAGTAGATTGTAGTGTCATATAATATGACATACGGAAAAATGTACGATGTAGTATGGACCTGTGCAATTACCGGGTGGGTTCGTGATGAGATTTGGACTCAGTAGCCATGGGCTGGTCATTCTTGCGTTTTAAACATGAGGTAGTTCTCGTTTGGCCTCACGTTTTGCTAGCACGCCAAGGTCAATAGATCCCGCAGCAAGCATTGAATTCTGCCATTGTGTCGGCGCCGAGAAGGGGAACGATGATTCTGCTGATGATATACGTGTGACTGGGGATGAAGCTGTAGCCATCTGTTCGACCAAGAAGGCGTTTTCTGTCCAGGAGGTGCCCGGTGATAGTTGAGCAATTTCATGGTCTGCAGCATATCCGAGAGTCATGTCTGCGGATCTTTGGCATGTTCTGCCTGTAGTGGCGGCAGGACCTCATCAGCGTGGTGCAGCCAGCTCCATCATCGCTCCTTGGCGATGCACAGACATACCCTCATATTTTGAGCGGCAGCAAGCTTCATTGCGGAATTTCTGAACTGCCGCCCCGCAAATGTGTTTCCTGCTGCTGCTGCTGCTATAGTGATGAAGTGGTATGCAGTATCGTGGTACATCTGTACCTATCGTGACTTGGCCTTCCGTTCCGAAATTCCTGGCAGCAGGAGCAGGTGAACGACAGGGACGCAAGCAGCTTCAATTGTTGCCCTTGGCAACATCGCTTCTTGCAGCACATCCTGAACATCTAGTGCAACCGTTGGTACTGCTGAGGCTCACACCTTTCCAGATAGTGGCCTGTGGATGCAGCAGTGGGGCAGAGTTCTCCCCAGCCTCTGTCGCCTTTGAAGAGACCGTCCTTGGCTTCTCAGTTCAAACAGTTTAGTGAGCGCTCGTGTTGTGCAGCTGGAAGGGCGTGAAGCCGTGCGGGCAAAGGTGTACCAGCTTTCGATTCAGCGCCGGCAACCATGGAGGTGCAACTGGGTTTGCTTTCCAAGGTCGCTCCTTGAGCAGTTTTGACGTTCTCCCTCAATTTCATAGGTGCCGTGATTGCACTCTAGGGTGTGTAGCTTACAGTGTGGAGAGTCGGTGTGCGACAGCACCAAAGTCTTCGGGAACTTGTCGGTGCTCGCGTTGATAGGATTACTTACTGCTACGAGTGTTTGGGTTTCAGTTTGGCCTTGATCAACTAGGACCGAAAGCACAGTGAGACGGGCAGAGTGGATTGCGGCAAGAGCAGGTAGAGGTCCTTTGCGCGTCTCAGATTTGCTGGCCAGGTATTCAGAGACGTTTCGCAGCGGCGTACTGTTCTGTCCCAAGAGATTGTGGGCAACGAGCGGCTAGCCTGAAAGGTATCTAATGCCGCAAGTTCTGGCTCATTGACACTCAGGGTCACACATTCAGGTTGGTGAGAGACACTTCTCTTCCGGAAGTACTTCCTGTGTCCAGTGCGGCAAGCAGCTGCCTGCCAACTCCTTCCCTTGGCGATCGTGCTGCAGTTGAGACTTGGAAGCTCAGAACATGTTGTAAACTCAGGGTGCTTATACATTTGTATCAAACGTGTACTTATTGTGTCGCCTAAGGGGATTTGCTTGGGACGCGTACACAATCAGTTGAGTTTGAAGCCACTTTGCCATGTAGTTGAACAGCTTACTTTGCACATGCCGTCACCTGCCACATTGCAAAGCATGGATCATCATGGCTGTTGCAGCTTTCCTTTATCGAACGCGCCTGCAGATCATGGCACAAGATGACAAGTCTGGAAACCATTGCCAGATGAAAGCGGATGTGCAACAGATGTACAGACCAGGACCATCTGGAGAGGCTGCTGACCCCTAGGAATACGCATGAGCCCTCCGATTTGAGTTAGACTGATTGCCACCCCTCGCCTTTGCCTGGCCCCAACGCAATGGGGACATGCCGCGGCATCCCTGAAAGTGCCACTCCAGAAAAAGCCGTAAGAGGTTAGGCTCTGAACTCCTACACTTACTGGAGGGCAGCTGGAGGGAGGGAGCCCTGACAAACCCTGTCTGGGAAGATCTAGGAGGCGCAAGGGCCCAGGCCTCAAAGTCTTTGAACATAAACATGTTGTTGCCGTACCAGAGTACCGTACCCAGGTCCAGGTGATTTTGAGTTTGAGGCGCCAGAGGCGCCCAGAGTTTTTGCCACGGGCTTTAGGCCAGATCTTGGGGCCTCACTGCCAAAGAGAGCCCAAATTTCTGCAGCCTGAAGCCTCAGAGGAACAAGGTGATCAGATGATTTTAACCATTCTTCGCGAGCAGTCTAGCTTTGGATTCTTTATGTGAACAAGTTTCGGAGTTGCGGAACAGTTTCGGACCACATCGGAGCAGGGCCCCCAGCACTCAGTCTTTGACAGGCTCATTTTTAGTTAGGCTCTTGGTATTTGAGCCTGGAACTCAGGATGTACGGGTGCAGATGGAGTATGATGCTTGCCTAAGATCAGAGAGACTTCATGCAGTCATGCAGTGTTTTTTTTTTTGTGAACTCATCCTTAAACGGGTTGCTAGTCACGGCGACCTTTGAGCGTTTGACCAGGATGAATACAACACCAGATCAAGAACAACTATCACGAGAGACATGGGTGGCGATGTCGTGCGCGTCCGACATCGCAAGCTCAATCGAACACATACCGGGTCAGACTCGGACACTGTCTCATCGATGTCTGATTCTGTGAAGACAGATGGCACTGCCAGTGTGAGCCATGTGTCGACTAGGTGCCCGGCATGCGCTCAGCCTGACCTCTTTGTTTGAGCAAAGTAAGAACTATCCTGAAACCATCTATTGTCACCGTACGTGCGACATGGTTGAACCATCATATCCATCAATCTAGCTTTGCAGAACAGGTAGCTCATATCAGCAATGTTGAAATGAATCCTGGCAAGGGGCCCAAGTTGTAATAAAGGGTGTAGGTAGCTTCGAAGGCCTAGTTAAAACGCTAATGTACAGGTTGCCGAGTCACGTATACAAGGTCTCAGAAGCAGCACGTCTCGTGCGAACCCAATTGGCAGCCATCAATGCAGGGCATTGCTTCAGCGCTAAGGCATGATGAGCAAGACGCGATCACCAACTGGGGTGTCCTTATTGGTAAAGCACTGTGGTGTCGCATGAAAGGGCCAGGACAGCAGGGTCAGCGTCTGGGCCCAAGCCAAGGGAAATGTATTGATCAGGGTCTCTACTCGGGGTGGGACTTGTTCTTGCAAGCAGAATGGGTGTTGTCAACACTTCAATCCAAGACTATAAACGCATCAGCATCATGCAAGGGCATGGAGTCAGATGCATGTGTTGTGAAATGCGTGTTGCTTTGCAAGCTCGTTTGGGATTTCGGCTGCCTCGGCATCTGATTGGCTGTCAGATTTTCTCGAGATTAGCTGTTGTGAGAATCCTTGCGCACTTTCACCTTTCAAAAGAAGTGTCCCTCTTCTTCCAAGGTCGAAAGCTGGGCCTTCTGGCAGTAGCCTTCCACAGCAGTACTTACTTGAACCGAATCACCAGTATTTCAAAGGATCCTCGGAAACTTGCTTGCATGCAGTTCAACGCTTTCTGGACGTTTGTTGTCGGCTTGTTTGCAGGTTTTGAACGTCCCATGCATGTTCAGCGCATTCCTGTTGTGCTGGCCAAGAGCTGGCTAAGAACAGGCATGAACAGGCAAATGGAACTCTTTGCTCCTGCTCTTGGAGGGTATGGAGTGACGAGTTCCCCTACCCTAACCCCAACCATCTCAACCATGCTGAGGACACCCGTGCGAGCTGTAGGGCGTGGTGTGCTGCGCCGAGCAGCCACAGTTGTCAGCCAGCTGCAGGACATGACAGACAAATCAGACAAGAGTCAAGGAAAAAACTTGAAACCAGTGAGCAAATTGAAGTCAGCACCGTGACTTTTATTTTGCCGCAGGAGATGGTCAAGCGAGTCTCCTGTATGCAGTTGGAGAAGCCGTTTCTTGTTAAGACGTAAACCCTAGCAACACCGGATGACAGTGGGCCCATTCATTCTTTCAGGTCGGGAAGGAGGACCAAGACGTCCTGGACTGTCAGTGGCAGGAAGACACACTGAACTTCCTGTTCAGTGACCCGGCAAAAGGAGTCTTGCATGATGTTCCCCAAGATTCTTCCTCAGCCTCAGCTGTTGTACGGAGTGATACAATGTAATAAACGTACACCATTATATCATTTCAAGGAACATTGAGACTAATGGTCTTACTAACCACTACGTATTCTTACTTGTGTTCTTGTCATTGGTACCGTTGTTTCTGATTCCCGAGTACCGAGGGCATTTGTGGGGCAACTCGTTGAAGAACCGTTGCTGTACTCAATATGCTGAATAATATTACCGCTTCTGAAAATATCAGTTCGAATAATAGCAATAATAGCGACAGGGTTAATAAGATCAAGTATAGAAATAACAGCACTAGTAATGGCAATAGTAGTAATAATGCCAGGTGCGGACTACACTGACACCCTCATGATCCTGGCAAGTGGGGTTCGGCAATGCCTGCAGAAAGAGCCAACTGTTGTACAAGTACCGCAACCCTGCAAAGTCTTCGGCACGATGCTCAGAGTTTGGTGCTGATCGTTCTCGACTGCGAGAATGTGAGCTATAGTCTAAACTCCTTAAATTATAGTGGCTTATATGGTGGATTATATAGGGGACTATTCGAGGGGGTATTAAGGGGGATACTAGGAGTTTACACTATAGCTCATGTGTCTGCTGCCGGATTGCTGGGTTGGACCACCTTTAGCCCTGCTGAGATCATATCTTTGAACCTTCCAAGGTGACGTACATGGTCAGCTTCGGGACATGCTGCTCCTTTTCCATGCCTACGGATGTCCTGGCAACCACCAGCACTTCGTGTTCAATGGAGACTTTGTTGATCGAGGAGCCCACCAGCTTGAGGCATGCCAGACAAGTCATATCCAAACAGACAGTCTTAAGATTTGCTCTTTTGGTGTTGTCGTAGAGAGAAGGACGGATAGTAAAGCCCGGAACAACATCCGTGCAGGTGGTTGGCGTCCTTTTTGCCTTGAAGTTGACCTTCCCATCCCACGTGTGGCTTGTGCGCGGGAATCACGAGGATACGCTTATGAACCGCGACTTGACCTCAATGAGTCTTCAAACCCATTTTATCCCATTTTGCTTGGGCATGTTGCCAGTGGGCTGTCTGTGACATCAGACTAAAGCCGCTATCCTACCATTCAAAACAAACCTGGCTTTATTGTGTACGCATCAAAATTGCCGTCCGCCTTCACCTCAAACACAGTCAACCTAAAATGTGCGGATTGAGCGGCAGCCCCGCTTCTTCCAACTTCTTCCAGTGTTCTTTTGTTCTGTTGCTAAGTAGCCCCTGTTTGCATTGTCTGCTAGCTGCCTGTTCTATAGGATGGTAAGGGGAGCGTAGAAGCACTGCGCCTGGCTGGTGTTCATTGGCCATCCCAGGCAAGTATGGTTTTGAGGAGGAATGCCTGGAGAGCTTGGGCTCTGCAAACGGACCCAAGACTTTCGACTTGTTCCAAAAGGCAGGGCATGCCATACAAGTGTCGGCACCATGTACGAGAGTTACCGGCAAGACATAAGGGCTTGCCTCTCAAGCATTTCGGCAGGGCAGCAAAGAATTTCTGTCTGCCAGGCCTTTGAGTGGCTTCCGCTGGCTTGCCTCATAGACGACCAGATCTTGACTGTTCACGGCGGGATTGGAGATGGTAAGTGGACCATAGCCGAGCTCTCTTGCGTGGAAAGGCCTCTGAACTCCGAAGATTTTCACATGCCCGAGCGGAGATGGCTCTACAACATCCTCTGGTCAGACCCGATCGCAGAAGACGAGAATCTCCAGGAGTCTGGAATGGTCTTTGGCGTGCATAGCTCACCGCGGAACGCCTCGGCAGTGAAATTTGGCTGGAATGTAACCAAAACATTCTGTGCCCTGAACGGTATTGGCCTGGTCGTTCGAAGCCATCAGTGCTCGGAGCGTGGCCGCGGTTTTGAGGTGATGCACGACGAAAAGCTAATGAGAGTATTCTCTGCACGGGATTACGAGGAGCATCGCAATGATGCCGCAGTGCTGTCCATTGAGCGCCGAGGCAATGATGACTGCAGATCACCGCTGACTGTGCGTGCGCAGGTGTTGAAGTCTTTGGAACATGTTCGTGCCAGCAACGGCACTGGAATTTAAACTCAAGATCTATGAGATACTCTGAGCAACATTGGTGTCGCAAAGAGGTGTCATTCCTGTTTTTTAATTCACGATGCCTCCAAGAAGTGGAAAACGCCTCCCTAGCAAGATTAGGATGGGCAAATCGTTGGGGCAAAGTTTCGGGGCCGCCGGCATTCATGGATTGGGAGACCTGAATGACTTGGAAGATAAGCCACGGCGGAGCCTGATGACCCACTGCCTTGTTTTGAAGCTTCCTCTGTGGAGCATGAACCCCAAACTGACTTGATAGTTCTGGTGAGAAGGAATGCTTGTTGCAGTATCTGCCACGTGCGCAACTATGGAACCCGTCATGCAGCAAGATCCCAAGCAGCTTGTTGAACGACGTGCGTTGCTGGTGGTGAGGGCATCCAGAATTGTCTGACACAACCGCACCGTAGTCAAATCTAATTTTCCTATTCACACCTATTCCCCCAGGAATGGAATGGCTTAGAGGATTGCAGGGGCCCGGGGGGCTCCATGTAGATCCTGGGGCAGTGGATTTGCTTCCTTGGTGGAAGCCAGGGCTCTAGTTCGTGCACAAACTAACATTCACAGCATGACAAGCTGTTGGTTTGGGGCAGCAAAATATGGTCCAACTGACCAGCTGCTGACATGCTACACTTCAAGTTCCATGGGCGAAAGTATGTTCCTAGAGCACCACTTGCCCGCTGAATTCAGCATATTCCAGGCTTGCTGAACGCAATCGAAATTGGCTGGACCTATAGCACATCATATACCACAATTTGAGCGTTCAAACAGGTTCTCTTCTGCTCTTACCATGGTTGTTTCCGTGTCGCGAACTACGTCCTGCCAAGCATGCGAAGCAGCTGCTTTCTTGTCAGACACTTGAAGTGTCTGAACAGCGGATGATAATGTGTCTGGCGATTCGTCGCTACTTCCAAGGCAGACTTGGCCGCGGAGAAAACAAAATCAGATCTATGCGGCCGCGAACTGCTGTGCGACTACTGACAGCTGTGTTGGGCTATGACACAGATTATCAATCAAACCCCCGTTTCGAGAAGTCTCTGTCGACCCCCGCAGCTCGATCCAGATAATTCATACCGCAGCTGCCCCTTCCCTTCACCCGCGTTGTGGTCAGAGATGGTGATTCTCTTACCTTCGCCCATGCTTTGGTCGTATATGCCTCAGTGACGAGGTTTGGTAGCCTCGTCACGCGCGGAAAAGACAATTTCAGCGAGCCGAATTTCCATCTTGCACAAAGGGGCTGATGTGCGCTGAGACTTCACCCTGTTTTTTCCTCCTCAGGCAGCTCCTCCTGCACGGAAGAGATCTTCAGACGTTAGTGACATTGTGGCTAGGGAGATGTGTGAATCAGCATGCGCTACAGCATAGTGCTTGACCCCAGCTTGTGCATACTGCGGCTCCATTTTGGCTCAAGGGGCCCCTTTGAGCTTTAAGCTACCGTCATCCTTGCAGAGAAAATAGCGCGATCCTTTTGCTGTGCGGTCCTTGGGCTAGACAGTGTTGTCAGTTGGTGGCGGAGCCCTTTGGTGGCTGAGACGGCTGACTTCACCGAGCTTCGACTTCTTTGCTTGCACGCTCTCTCGGCGGGCGAGCAGGCTGTGCGGAGGCAACTCCGGGCGGATCAGGAGGATCCAGAAAGCAAGCACGCCCAGGCATCCGTGACTAGACGTGTGCACTCGGCGAAGGCGGTGTGGGAAAGAGAGAAGGAGTACAACGACCTCGCCTCCATCCTCAGGAGTTTGGAAAGTCCCTACCGGGAGTTCTTCATCCGCGCGCCCTTGGTGAGGAGAAGTCCGAGGACGAGAGTGAAAGTGAAGCCGTGTCACGGTCCAGGTCACCGAGGACCACAAGCAGCTCTAGAGCACTTCATCGCCCAGCGGCGCCGGCTACTTCGTCTTCTTCGGCAAGGCCGGGCGAACAGAGCTCATCGAGCAGTTCTTTGAGACCTACTGGCTGATTCGCTTCGGCTGCTTCTACCTGATTCTGTGCTACCAGTTCGAGAAGTGGAATGGCTGAGGAAGGCCAGCCGGTCGTGCGAGACCGGGACCCACCGCCAAGCTGGAATGGAGAAAAGCCGGAGACGACTTGGAAGGTCTTTCTCAGGGACCTCGAGCTCTGGGAGGCTGTTACAGACCTTCCAAAGGCAAAGCGAGGCGTGAAGCTAGTTCAAGCTCTTTCCGGGGCAGCCAAGGAGGCAGTGCAGTCCATCACCGTCAGCGACCTCATCGCGGAAGACGGCTTGAAGAAGGTGACGAAGGCTTTGAGTGATGCCTTCGCCCCCTACCAAGAGACGGCGCTGCCCAGGGCCATGGAGACAGCATCTATGGCGCGGCAAGGTCCCATAAGGAGAGCATCCCAGAGTACATCGTCCGCTTCAATCAGGCCCAGTCGGTGCTCAAGAGTGAGGGCGTGAACCTTCCGGTTAAGGCTTCAGGCTACCTCTTGTATCGCCAGGTTAACTTGGATAAAGAGTCGGACGCAAAGCTGACTACTTGGCTCCAGGGTGACTACTCCTTGGACACCGTCCTTTCGAACCTTCGCAGGCTTGACCGCGTCACCACAGAGGGCAAGAAGGGCGTTTTCTTCGAGGAGGCGAGGACGAGGCTTGGCCTGAGGACGAGGACGGCGAGGACTACTTCCCCACCTTTGAGGCGGAGCTCGACGACGGGCCGGAGGAGGAGGGCGATGTCATCGACGAAGACGACCTGATAGATGTCTTGGCGAATTACCAGGACGTGCGCAATGCTCTCAGGCAGAGTCGGAACGCTCGCGGCTTCTACCCTCCAACGAGTCCAGGCTTCAAGGGCAAGAAGGGCCAGTCAAAAGGCAGTTCGTTTGGGCCGACTCAGCCGGGCAAGGGCAAGGCCAAGGGCAAGCAGATGGGCAAGAGCAAGGGCATCACGATACAAGAGTTGAAACTCCGTACTCGGTGCCGGGCTTGCGGCAGGATCGGGCATTGGTCCAAAGAATGTCCGTGAAACAGTTCCAGGCTGTCAAGCTCTTCGGCGAGTTCGTCTTCTGCTCCTACCGCGGCTTCTGCTCAGGGCACTTCTTTCTACTGGGCTGGCGGAAATGCCGGGCCAGCAGCTGAGTTTTTCACCGAGAGCGGCTCCGATGCAAAAGTGTCCTTTCTTACGTCAGACCATAGGGATGCAGAGGTTCCTTTTGTGGGCGTCGTTACCTCCAGTGCAGAAGCCATAGTAGATACAGCAGCGCAAGATGGTCTCATCGGACGTCCTGCTCTTCTCCGTCTTTTCGAAGCTCTCCGGAAGTTCGGGCTAAAAGGGCGGTGGACAGGCGAGGCTTCGGAAGCGAGGGGTATCGGTGGTGTTGCGAAAACCGGCCAGTGGGCATTGGCCAGGTTCCGGGGGTTGTGGCGTTAACAGTGGTGGCCGAGGATGTTCCGTTTCTTCTTCCCGTAAATCTTTTGCGAGCCCTCAAGGCGAACGTGGATCTCAGCGAAAATCGTCTGCATCTTCGAGCGATAAACACCGACTGCGTCATGAACGTTCTCCCGTCTGGTCACCCCACAGTCAGTGTCCTTGACTTCGGTTCCGGATGGTTTCTCCCAGAGGTTTGCAGAGGTCATGTGCCAGAGAGTGCATTCCGTTCAGCCCCGAAGCAAGTGCAGTTCAGCATGCGACCCCATGGGCATGATCATTCCTGCAGCCCGAGCGCTCAAGCGACCTTGGCCACATTTTCTGTGAGTCCTGATGTTAGGCGCTCAGGCATTGCGTGCTCAACGAGAGCAGCCATGGGTCGTGATCACACCAGGTCGCAACCCACCACGCGCCCGCGCGCATTGGCGCGCGTTGTTGGACAAGGTTTGGTGTGTGCTTCAATGGGCGCACTGCCAGTCTGTGATGGGCCAGTGGCTTCAGCTTCCTGCGCCCGAGCCCTCGACTTCGGCGACCTCTACCACGGCAAGTTCCTCGAGGACACCGGTGCAGGTGGCGGCCACGGACAAAGGGCAGGCGTACCGCAACTACTTGGAGAACAAGAAGCCCAGCGCCATGGCTCCGGTGAAGGGAGTGCCAGAGGTAGATGCCAGCAAATGTCACCAATGTGCAAAAGCCGCTGGAATTGTCTCCAAGGACGGCTGCCATCATGATGGGGAGGCCCCTCGACGAGGAGCAGGCCCCAGTGAAGGCACCCCAGGCCAAGACAGCCACGACATCGCCGGCAAGTTTGTCCCACGATCTCCTGCAGCAACTGGCGGAGGCCAGGTCGCTGAACGAGGACCTGCAAGCTCAGCTGGACATGTCGGCGGGGAACTTCTTGGAGTTCGAAAGGGCTGAGGAGAACCTGACCATGCTGGAGACGAACCTCGGCGACTTTCTATGTCAGGCAGAACAGGAGCGACTGGGAAAAGGCGGCAAGCAATCTGAAGGCAGCAGCGGTGGAGCTGAACAATTACCAGGCCATGCTGGTGGCCCAGCGGAACCAAGTCTCCAGGAACCAGGCGGCAGCGGCGGCGAACCAGATGTGAAGGATGAGCTCGAGGGCAAGACCACCGCCAGAGGCAGAGTCCTGAAGAAGGCTTCCAGATGAGCGCTTGAGAGGTGGATGAAGGAAGACCGCCCTTTTTCCGAGGCTCGACGGTGGACGTCTCCTTCGGCGAGATCGATACGACCTCGCCAATGAACCGACGATTCCCCTGAAGGCCTACATCGTGCTGAGGGAACCGGATCTGTTCATTGGGGCCGAGTTCCTGGAGGACTACCACCAGGACGACTCGGAGGTGACCGCCAAGGCATTCCACAATTACATGATCGATGGTGCTGCTCCCTTAGCTAAGCTCCGACTGCGCTTGAATGACATGTCAGAGTTTGACGCCTGGAAAGCTATCGAGATGAAGCGACCAGGCCACTTGATCATCGAGGTCGGCAACATCGAGAATAACCTCGAGACGGCCTTTCGACTGGCGCGAGATCAGCGTAGAAAAGGCGGGAGCTATGTCATGTGTGTGGATCCGCGCCGGAGAGACCAAGTCAAGAGGCACCCTGCCTGTCTGTACGCCATGGAGCACCACGATGCGAAGTACGACTCCGTCAGTGGTGCCGACGCCATTCGAGGGTGCAAAAGGACGGCTCCGGACACCTCCGACAAGGCAAGCTCGTACCCTGTCGAGATAGAATCGCCCGAGAATGCCGAGAACCAGGAGCCACAGGGCGAAGATGAAATGCAAGTTCACGAGCCGACTGCTCGGGAGAAGGAAGCCATCGAGAAGTTGCACCGCAACCTCGGGCACCCCAGCAACAAGGAGCTCTCACGTGTGCTGTCTTTGTCGAGGGCGAGTCCGCACCTTGTACGCTGGGCAGCTCAGGGGCACCACTGCCCCAACTGTGCGGCACATGGCGCGCCAAAGGCGGTGCGCCCTTCGATGATACCAAGGTCATACGCCCCAAACTCTGTCGTGGGGGTTGACCTCTTTCAACTCCCGAACTTTGATGGCTCGGACCAGTTCTGGATGCTGAATATGGTGATGGTGTGTCATGGAACGAGCTTTCAGTCATGTGAACGAGTCAAATCAAAAGAACCCCAAGAGGTCTGGGCGGCATTTTCGAGATCTTGGGGGCGCCTTCTGGGATGGCCTCAGGTGCTGATTGCGGATCAAGGAACAGAATTCTTGGGGGACTTCAAAGGCAAGTGCTCCGACCTGGGCATTATCCTGCACACGTTAGGCGCAAGAGCTCCTCATCAACAAGGCAGGACCGAACGTCACGGAGCTCTTTTCAAAGCAACTTTCCAGAAAGCGGTCTGGGACTGCCCCCCACAAGACCATCATGAATGGCGGCTTCTTCTGCGGGAGACCGAGGCGGCAAAGAATAAGTCCTTTAACCGCTCGGGGTTCTCCCCGATTCAGCGCATGATGGGCCACTCGCCACGAGCCAACGGGGAAGTCATGTTCAGCCTTTCTGGGGCATGGGCAGGAAATGGAGCGCCTGCTGACTGCTAGGCGCGCGGCTCAGAAGGCCTTTGTGGAGATCAACACCTCTGAGGCAGTCAAAGTTGCTCTTCGAAGCAGGTCTCGCGTCCAAAGGAGGTTTTCCCCTGGCGAAGTGGTCTTCGTTTGGCGCTCCTGGAAAGAGAAGGGCGTACTCAAACCTTCGTGGGTTGGTCCCGCGGTTGTCCTCATGCCGGAAGGTGCCAATGCTTATGTGAACATGCAGGGGCGCCTGTGGAAGGTGTGCAATGAGCATCTCCGAGCCGGCACCTCAGACGAGATCCGTGGATCCAGAATCATAGAGGATCATACTAGGGACCCTCTTCCTGAACGAGACGGGCCGGCTGAACCTCCAGAGCAAGTTCCAGGTGAAACGGACCAAGAAGGCATCGCCAGAGGACTTCCTCGACCGCGGCTTGAGGAAGCAGAGACGCCGGTGATTCTTCCGCCGGTGGTGGTGGACATCGAGCCTGCCCCTGAGATTCCGGACACTCCTGTTCCAGCTCAACCACAAGCGACTTTGGGCCCAGAGCAGGCCACGAGAGAGAGGCAGCAAACAGAAAGCACCAACGAGCCGGAGGTGGAAGCAGCGCCACATCTTTCTGACATCATGCCCGGAGGACGTGATCGAACTGAAGGCGAGCTTCGGGAGGAAAGACTGAGAGCAGGCGTGGCGGCAGCGAACGCCAACGCCAACCTAGATGGCGTGCCCTTGAGCCGGACAAGAGGCTCAGCAGGTTCAGCTTTTGGACCTCAGCGACCACGTTTGGAGGACCGGACGGTCACACCGTACCGCAGGCTGCCGCTGGACGACAACGGCGTCAACCAGTACTTGACCGAGGCCGAGTTCTTCGAGGGCGAGCTCGACAGCAAGGTCGTTCCTCCAGAAGCCAGTGAACGAGAAGCGGCGCGACATCGTGACCGTTGGGAGGTCATTGCAGAAAAAGGTGTTCTCAGGAGACATCATGTCAAGTGGCGGCTGCGCACGTTTTCGCCTTGGGAAACGCCAAAGGTGCCGGTGGAACTTAAGGCTTTGTCGTCTTCCAGAAAAACAGTCATGGTCTTCAAAGACGGCGACCGCGACGTGGCCGAGGACGACTGGAGGAGCCTCAAGCCAAAGTCGAAGCAAAGAGCAAAGTGGAAAGGCTACACGGACGTCTATGCCCCCGCTTCTGTCCCGAGTGCGGTTAATGACGGCACCTACGGCAACTACATCGGCTACCACGGCGAGGCAAATTACAGCTTCCTGGCGGTCGACAATGACATCTTCCTCGGCAAGAAAATGGGCTCAGACGAGGTCTCGGAACGAGACATACTTCCTCACGAATGGCCCGGCTGGCAGCAAGCTGACGCCGAGGAGTGGAGCAAAATCTCGGCCAGCCCTGCGGTGAGGGTCTTGTCCGTGAAGGAGTCACGGGAGACCAGAGCTAGACTGGCGGCGGAAGGCAAAGAGGACAGAATCTTGAAAAGCAGAATAGTTCGCCGAATGAAACCGGGCGAGCAGCCTGGAGAAGAGGCTACCAAGAAATCGCGCTGGTGCGTGCGTGGTGATCTTGACCCGGATGCGGTGCACCTCGCCAGCTACTCTCCTACGGTGTCTACGCAAAACGTTCAGGTCATCCTCCAACTGGCTTCCTCGCTTCGCATGGAAGGCTCTTGCGGGGATCTTAAAGCAGCGTTTATGCAATCGGAACCCCTGAAGCGGGAGAGAGGCGAGCTCTTCGTGATGCCACCGACTGGTGGGCTGCCAGGGCTTGAGGAAGAGCAGCTGGTTCAAATAGTCAGTGGAGTTTATGGGTTGATAGATGCGCCATTGCATTGGCGGCGCACTTTGACCACGTACCTCCGAGACGAGCTCAAGTACCAGCAAAGCAGGTTGGACCCAACCATCTTCTTCCTGCACGCCAACGGCCGTCTGGAAGGGATCATTATCATCGAGATAGACGACCTGCTGTGCTTCGGATATGACCTCCATGACAAGCAGCTGAGCAAGCTTCGCGAGAGGTTTAAGTTCGGCAAGTTCAAGAAGCTTCAAGAACTTGCAGACGGGACTTCCTTCAACGGAAGGCGGATTCAACAAGACAAGGACTACAACATCCGCGTCGACATGTCGAAGTTTGTCAGAGAACGGCTATCCGAGGTCCACTTGGAGAAGGGGCGAAAGTCTACGCCTGATGCCGAGGCTCTCCCAGAGGAGATAAAGAAGGTCAGGGCCGCGATTGGATCGTTGGCTTGGTGTGCTAAGGAAGTCAGGCCAGACGCTTCCGCAGGGGCAAGCATTCTAGCGTCAAAGATGACCAAGATGAAGATCCGCGACATCGTTGCCTTGAACCGGGTGATCTCGCAGGTGAGAGCAAAGCCGGACCTCACACTGATCTACCACTCCATCCCGTATGAGGACCTGAGGTTTGGCGTGGCAACGGACGCGTCCTGGGACAACTACAGTGATGGCAGCTTTCAGGGAGCGGTAGGTGTGCTGGCTTACCACAAAAGCCTGCTGGAAGGCGAGACTGCAAGGTGCTCGCTGCTGTGGTGGAGTGGGAAACTTCGTCGCAAGGTTCCCTCGACGCTGGCGGCCGAGACGCAGTCCTTGAACCGTGGGCTGGGTGAGCTAATGTGGACTAAGGCCATAGTTCAGCACCTCGTCGACCCCTCCTTCGAGCTCCAGGAGTACTACAACCAGGTGAAGCACCAAGCAGACCTGGTACTTCAACGAGGAGATGGAGACAAAACCCTGCGGGAGTCTCTGAGCATCATAGATGCTAAGAGCGTCTACGACAACGTCACCAAAGAGGGGGCGATAGCGCAGGACAAGTACACCGCTCTGGAGGTTGCAATAGTGCGAGAAAGGGCGGACGGCCTGGGAGTTCAGGTGAGATGGGTCGAGCACCAGTCCATGATCGTGGACGCATTGACGAAGGTGAACGGAAACCCAAGCGCCCTGTACAAGCTGCTTGACTCAGGATGCTATAGGATCGTGGCCGAAGAAGAGCTCTTGGATGAGAGAGCAGTTTTGCGGCAAGAGGGTCGCGTGAAGCGGCGCTAAATAGTGCTGTATGCGCTGGGGCCAACAAGATTTTGAGGGTGCTGTGAATCAGCATGCGCTACAGCATAGTGCTTGACCCCAGCTTGTGCATACTGCGGCTCCATTTTGGCTCAAGGGGCCCCTTTGAGCTTTAAGCTACCGTCATCCTTGCAGAGAAAATAGCGCGATCCTTTTGCTGTGCGGTCCTTGGGCTAGACAGTGTTGTCAGATGGGAGCACTGCGGGTTTGCCTTGAAAAGGCGAGGTGTACGTGGGGGCAAGTCGCATTCCTGATCTCGCATCATTCAGGGACCTAACAACAGACCATCCTGTTGTTAGCCTTAAGCGAATTCGGTCATACGCTTCGTTGCGATTTGGCAAATTCCGCGCCCGCCGCGCCGCCGCGACAATCTTTTTCACATGCATGGCCTTTGTCGTGCCCAACCACATTTTGTCAGGCCCTTGCAGCTTCCTTGGCGGTCCTGGCATTGGCTGCGAGGTTACAGGCCCATCCACTGACCTGACCACAGGTTCATCTCTGTCTCTCAGATCGGTGTGTCAGGATGCTGCGCAGACCGCTGCTGGACTGCGAACGCTGACACAGTCGCCGGATGCCCTGCGAAAGAAGCCTTGAAGAAAAGACTAGTTGACTGAGCTTGGCATCGGTTAGGTTGTTTCAGCAGAGCAAACCCCAATGTCAAAAATCCTTTGCAATCTAAGGCTCGTAGTCTCTGCGGGCTGCCCAAAGTAGATGCCAAAGAGCCTAGTAGAGGGTTGAAGACCGGCTGTGTTTTTGCACTCTGTTCGCACAACACTTGGAGAACATTGTTTTATGTCACGGAATTTCTATCAGCATACCATCAAGGCTTCACAGTGACATCAGCTACGCGGAGGCTTCGAGTCTACCTGAGCTCAGCTCATCTGGGGTGCTGTGATTGTGTGCCCTCATGAAACGCACAGCATGCTATGATTGACAGCGGGATATCTGGCAAGTTCTTTTCCGTTCAGCACTCCATGTTGTAAATTGTAAATATTTCCACGTTGTCAATCTGGTGTTTGGAAGGTCTGCTCGCTAGGCCACGGTTGTCGCTTGCTTGAAGGTCCTTCAGCCACTCGGCATCTTTAAATGGAGGCAGTGTTGATTAGTCGGTCAGGATAGGAAGCAGGCGCTCATCACATTAAGGAGTCCTCACGCGCCAGTGGCTATGTCGCGCCTGGTGCATCTACAGGTGCACCGCCAAGCACAGCAGGCGCTTAAAGGGCTGCCAAATCGCTGTTTTCAGCATACCTGTGGCTCGCAGAAGGTGGCGTGGATACGGCTTTGATACGTCGAAGCTGGTGCAACCCTTACCGAGCGATCGCTGCAAGCAGAAGCTCAATTACGTTTGGCATCAACAGGGTTGTCACAAGGCTCCGTGATCGTCTTCCGGGCTTGCCAGCTGCTCTGGAGGTGAGGTCGGAGAAGCAGCCAGCACTTTCCGCTAGCAGTGTCGTCGCATGGTGAGCGCCAGTGTCGCAAGTCTAGTTTGTTATGAAGATGTTGAGATGTGTAGCTTGAATGCCATGCTCTTCTTGCGAATGTTGCGATTGGCAGCCCTGCTGTGAGAAAGGGCGTGAAGCAACCTAACCTGATGGATCCTTGTATCACGAAACATGAGGTGTTTTGCAGCCCTAAATGCAGTGGGTTTTGCATCCATCCCCACCAGCTGAGCTCACCCACTTACTTAAAAAGCAAGGCTCATCACTGCAGACATCGAGCAGGCACTCCACCATCCAGCCTACTTACTCGAGCTTAAAGGAGAGTGTGGGAGTGGATCCCTGGGACAATCCCTATATAACTCCCTAATATGTACCCCTGTAATAGTACCTATATTCACTCTCCCACTCCCACTTAAGCACCAGTAGGCCTAAGCCTGTGTCCTACGCACGGCATGGATGGCGGCCTCCTGGCGCTGCCCTGCATCCGGCAGAGACAAGGTGATATGAGGGCTTCCCAAAGTTGATTAGGGATCCCTTTGAAGGGGACATAGGGGCAGATCTTGCATGTCTCCCCAGGTTTTGGATGCACGGAAACAATGCAACAGTGCTGGAAAACAATGTGTAGCCACATCATCTTGTCAAGTTGTGAGGGTTCTGCTGCACACCACGCCGAACCAAGATGCAGCTGTCTGCAGGCTAGCTTTGACTGCCGGAGTCACTGGATGATAAGTATGTCCATTCAAACCCCCTTCATGACCAGGCTTTTATCTGGTCAAATGGCATTAATCACTGCGCTTTTGCACTGGTCACTTACCTTTTCAATTTAGATTTGGTTTGTCACAAGATGCTGGTTTAGGAACACATCTTTCGCGCTGTAGTAGCATGCCATAGCATGCCTTCTTCACGTGTTTTGGACCATTTTCCCGTTTCTGTTACATATGAATGAACCACTGTAGTCACGTTTTCAGGCCTTCTTCGCATTGTGTTGGTTGTCCGCAGGTTCAAGTCTCCTTCGGAGATGTTACCTTGTTTTTTTTTTCTTTGGCCTGGCAGGGGATATGCGTGTGAACCTTACTCAATTCACGCCTTTTGAGCCGGTCGCATGTAATTTATATGCGTGTATGTGGTGAGAAGCAAGCGTCGTGGCAGTGGCAGGAGAGGCGGAAAGTTGGTGCTTACGAGAGAGGAGGCGCCTTTCATTCCGGCACGTGCAGGTCAAAGGCCAAAATTTCAAGTGATACGAGGAAAGCATGACAGCCTGTGTTCAAGGTGCCACCCGTGGGCACCAGCGGCAGCGAAGGCTTTACTTTCGCTGGGCATCAGTGGGGCTTTTCCTCTGGGCCGTTCAGCAACCCTTTGCCAGCCACCTACGGAAGCCTTGTCTTGTTATTTCGCTTTGGAAATCTGATCCAGCAGATTTGCCGTGGATGACCCAAGGTCACGGAGCTTAGTTGTGGATTCGCGGCAGCACCCGCGCGACGCATTGGTCCACGCATCTCTGTGAAGGCGCAATTCGTCAACATTACCTAAACGCTGAGTGAGCCCCCTGTCGGACTGTCTCGGCAAATGGTGTTGCTGAGGCTAAGGCTCTTGCTGTTGCTCCCGTCCTTATCCTCGTGCTTGTCTTGGACCTTTGCAAAGTCTCAGCCTTGGAGCCAGGCCCAGCCTGGCGAAAGCGACAGGAGACCTTCTCGAAGTTCCACTTACTTCTTAGCGGTTAAGGCGCGGAGCCTTCGGTCATAGAAGCTTGACCGCTTGGCCGAAATAAGCCTGCCCTTAGCCGGAGCTCATTCGTCAACTGATGTTGAACGAAGAATGCGCCGAAGAAATTATGCCAAGTACTGGTGGGTGTTGTTAGCGCCTCCAAGAAGCCAGGATGCAATCTATACTGCCCTCTTTGGCGCTCCGGAAGTTCATCCTGCCGAAGCAGGATCTTGGGATGGCGTCAGCGTGTCTAGGCAGGTTTAAAGTTTTTGCACAAGGGTGGCCACAGTTCCTTGATGCAGCATGTGGTACTCGTACGAGTGTGCAACTCAAGCGCAGTCATGAATCCGCCAGCAGCACTGAGGGCGCTCTTCTCAATGCAACCTCCTCGGCAGTCTATGGGGCCGCATCCAGTGCAAAGGCAGGCTCCATGATCTGATGCAGTATATCATAGTATATTGGGGTAATATTGGGATAATGGAAAAGAAAATGGAAGCTACTACATTATATAGGTCATTATAGTATACTCTAGTATATTCTACTATATTATATAGTATTTTATAATATATTGCAGTCTATCATACACTGTGACAGCAGAGTTTGGTCTGTCAGGGTGCGCTGCTTTCTGCCGGCTCCTCTCTGCTGGGTGGAGCGTCATCTGGCCTGAAGGTGCAGAGGGGTGGGGAAGAGCGCTTACGTACTACTAGGGTTTAGGGTTTAGGATTTAGGTTGGGGGTTACATTGGGATAATGGAAAAGAACATGGAAACTACTATAGTATATAGGGTATATATAGGGGTTATAGTGGGGTCATATTATAGGAATCTAGAGCCTCTTTACGAGGTGATCGAAACCACGACTATCTCTGTGGCCAGCTGGACATCCTCCAAAGCCCAGGACTTTCATGGTACTAGCAAGCGAGCGGCTTTGCACTTGACTTTGCATATTGAGCTTCATGCAAGTTCGGCAGGTTGCGTCCTCATACAGTGCAAGCATAATCAAGGGTGCAGGTGTTTCTTGGATTTCTGGAATCCGCATTTGCGTCCGTGAGCGTGCTTGAGCTGGCTTGCGCAGTCAGGCAAGTGATTTTAGCATCTTCGTCCAATGTTGCGCGCTTGCCATGAGAGAGAGATTTCTGATCTGGGCTCTGGCGGCCTTTTGGAGCACACAGCAGCTGCATCTGAACTTCGGGTGCCCAGCATGGAGACGTGCTGACCTTCCGGTCAGATGGTCTCAGCCAATTAACCCTGCGAAGTCCCGGTGGCTCAGCTTGGCAGTCCTGGAAACGGATCCCCAGCGTTTGTCAGTGATCCATGCTTTGTTTTTGTTGCCCTGCTGTGATTGATTCTGACTTTTTAACGAGTGGATAAGGAAATCGAGGATGCGGACCTTGCGGACAAGCTCGCTACGCTCTGCTATGCAACGGAGACGCAAGGTTTGGGCCGAACCGTCAGCAATGTGGGCGGCTTTCAAAGCTGCCATCTACCTGCCTCACGCCATGCCGTTCTCACCAAGCTCATCTCACTGGTTCAAGCTCCCTTTGTGGAATACTTGCGCAAGACTCGGCGTGGGCAGCCGCCACGACAGGTTTTGGCTCAGGACCTTTGTGTAAGCTGCCAGTGTGAACATCTCTGGGTCAATGTCAACCGGGCAGGACAACACAATCGTTTGCATGAGCATGGCCCGCCTCTTTTGTCGCGGTCTGCATCAGGCATCTACTATCCTCGCCAAGCCGAGGCCAGTGCTCCAGCCAAGGTACGTTTTTACGACGCAGGCCGCTGTGTGGAGGCGGCTCCACGTCCTGGATTGCTGCTGCTCTTCCCCACGAACTTGCTACACGAGGTGGATCCAGTTTGGCCTGGCAATGGTGATCGTCTGTCTGTGGCATTCAACCTGTTTGTGCGATGGCTCGACCAGCCAATTCTAATTGCATCTTTTGCCGGAGATGCAAGTGAAGTGAAGCGATTGCTTGGCAGCGGTGCAGACGCAGAAATTGCAGATGCCGCGCTTGGTTTCCGGCCTCTTCATGTCGCTGCAGAAGCCGGACATGTGGAGGTAGTAGATCTGCTTCTTACGGCTGGTGCTGATCCTGAGGCTGTCACCGTCGAGGGCTGGTGTCCCCTAGGTTTGGCTGCAGCTCAAGGACACTTGCCGGTGGTGAAGTACTTGCTGGACGTACAAGGAGCGTCGCCCATCGCGCAGTCCTTCGAGGCAGCAATGGCCACGGTTGAAACTGTAGATCTCCAGCATGGCTTTTCTGGTCGTTTGGGGGCAACGGCCGTTGCTGCGGAGCGCGGCTACGTTGAAATTGTCGAATTGCTCACTGGCCGCTAACCGGAGCCGATCAGCTGAGTTCGAAGTGCGCACAGCGTTGACTTGGCATGGTGGGATCAGGGCTTGTGTGTCACAAAAAGTCTTCAAGGCTTGCATGCTTTTATTTGCATAAGCAGAAGGGAGACATCGGATGAATCACGCACATCGAGTGACAGGAGCTTGCAGCCGTCTTCACAGGAGGCTTCGTGCGGTTGCCACCTGGTGTCTGCAGATGCATCTGTGACTCCTCTCTGCGTTGTCGCTCGGTGTGCGGCAGGTTCTTCTTCCAGTGACGAGGTCCTGGACCAGCCAGATCCACATCGTGAGGTGCCTCGGCAGCTCCTTTTGATAGGTTCTCCGACGCCGCAGCCTTGCCCTTGGCCTTGCAGGAGGAGGAGGACTCGAGGGAGGGCGTCATCCAAGCCGTCATCCAAGAGACGCCAACGCCATGGCATCCCCCTCTCCTTCCGCCAGCTCTGCCAGCTCTCGGAGCTGTCGAGGTGGGAGAAGCTTGCAAAATCTCTCTTAGCTGTGGAGCCTACCGTGCTCTTTTTGTCTTGTCAACAGAAATATCAGTAATGTGTGCCAAGTTTCACCATGAGCACTTGCCGTGTTTGCCTATTGAGCGTCAGGTCATACATGTAACATTCTCCGAACCAGCTGAGCTAGTGAGGAAGCCCAGCTAGAAGCGTTTCCCTGCAGTGGGTCTCAGAACTCGTCTGCGCATACTTGTCGCGCCGCATCCCAGCTTGCAAGACAAACATGACAAATTCATAGCCGCATTTTGTGGCGACTTATGGTGGGTGTTGCCAGGTGGAGCCTGACATTGCAAATGGTGTCAAGAAGGATGAGGCATCATCCCTGGTTCACAAGGCATTGGACATGGGCAATTTTGCAATGGCAAGTAGCTGGCTCTCTCTAGCGAAAGCATGCAGACATCTTGAAGACTGAGCCTTTGCTTCTGACATGTGGCAACTATGCATGAAGCATCGCTGCGTCGCAGAATGCTTGCTTTCTCTCCATGGGGATGATGGTGTGTTTCAATTGAAGGCATCAACCATGCCGCAACCCCTCTTCACGGACTTGGATGGATCCGGTGCTTCTCGGATGGCAAGTTACATGCTCGCTCCTGGCTTTTGATGTGATGCACTGCAGCCGCGAGTCTTCCATGTAATAGCCTGCTTTTTGTGCGGATGATGACCAGAAGGGTCTCAGAGCATGTTGTGGATCTGCTCAGCACACCTGCGTAGGCGGAGGACTTTCAATCTGCTTAATTTTCCGAGGCTGAGCCTGGTGATTTTTTCCTTTTCATCAAGGACAGCCAATTTGAACCCAGCCATGTTGGCTTTGAGACGACAGCCAAGTCCCACACTTTTCTGGTCTTGAAATGTCATGCAAACAGAGGAAACAGAGCAGGTTCCTAGGCTCCGTAGTGGTAAGTAACTCCTTACTGCTTCTCAAGCTGCAAATCGAGCTTGGGGGTTGACGTGTTCCTGTTAGTGCAAGTTGGGCATTCGCCCAGTCAACCAATCCGCAGGACTACGGCTGGAGCCTCCGATACCGGGTGAGCTATGCGGAAGATTCTGTCAATGTTGAGAGGCAGGACCTCACTTCGTCAGACTTGCGCAGATCCAGCGATTTTGAACGCTAGGCCATTGCTGCTGGATTGGATCAAGCTGCGCCGCCCAGTCCAGCATCCCTCCGACCTTTTGGAGGCATGCTTCCGCAACTCCATGTCCCCGACACTTTCGACACAAGTGCAGAACTTGTGCAGATCCCCAGCTCAGAGCTTTTTGAGTGGGACGTGGTTGAGCCTCCTCGTCACAGCGGCTTCATGTACCAGGCACGATCAACTTTTTCGTCATGCTTCATGTTGTCCGGACCAGATGCGATGTAGCCGCGGTTAGATAGCTGTTGCCGGTGCATCATGGAGACGTATTCAGCTGTTGGCCCAAGCACCGGACTCAAGATTCTGTTTGGATAGATGCGTGGCCACAATCCAACCATAGATGTCATTGAAGCCGGTGGAAGTTCTTGAAGCCTTCAAGCCTTGCCCAGCTCCATGAAGGCGGGGCGGCAACATCCTTTCTCTCGCGCTCACTCATTCTCTCCCTCTCTCTGTCCGAGCAAGCTTGCCACTGTTGAAGTGTGCCGTTTGGAGTGATGGGAATGATGTTGGTGGTGTTCTGGATCAGCGGTCTGGCGCTTGCGGCATCATTTGCTCTGCTTTACAGACTGTATGCAGCAACGGCAGCTGAGAATCAAGAGCTACGGCGTCGACTGCAGGCCATGTTCGGCAAACTACTTTGGGAAAATCTTGTAGGAAGCCTGGCATTAAGCTCGAGCGCCGTGCGCTGAGGTAGGTGTGCAGTGTACGTGATATGTCATATTAATGTGTCTATCAGGAGGCAAGGCGGGGCCCGGAAACTATGAGATTGTTGAGAAAAGGACAATAATCTCAAGCTAGGCGCAGGGAATGCCGCCTGTGACTGCGGACTGGAAGAGCACAACAAGGAATGGGGCTGCGCTGATGGAGGAGCTGCCAGGGTCTTCTTGTCCTGGAGATTCATAGGCCTTTCTAAAGGGGTGGGTAATTTCTTCTTGAATCAGCTTTTTGAAGCAGGGTCATGTCAGGGAGGAGAGATATCTTTCCAATCAGGATTTGCAACGATGTATTGGTACCTGCGGGCACCGCCCGAAAGCTGAATGTATTCTTCAGCACGGAGCATGCTCGACTGCAGAGGTGGTTGGTCTGTTGGATGCGCTTGGGGATGCGCATGCAATGAAACTTCACCATTCCAGGGCTATGGAAGCGCACTTGGCAGCTTTGGATCTGAAACGCGCAGTCAACTGCCCGGCGTCGGAGCTTGTGACTTCGTATTCCTCTCTGGCTACGGCCGCCGGGAATCTGTTTAGGTTCGATGAGGCGATGGGATGGATAAGACAAGCACAGGCTCTGTCATTGTCAGATTCCGTTCTCTCTGTGTTGTATCAGCACGAAGCGCAGATTCACTTTTGCATGGAAGACTATGTCTCCTCCCTGCACGTTCTGGAGCACGGCTTTAAGCTACTCCAGCAACACGGCAAGGCGCTGGATGTGCCCAAAATCTTGACCCACTACGAGCTGCTCTCTCACGTGATGCGAACGTCGTCAAAACAGATGCCAGCAGGCGTTGCCAAGGCCATGGCATCCCGGCAGCACGGTTTGTTGGAGCAGCTGCGCAAGAGAGGCTATGAGAACCCGCTGCAGCTTCCAAGGCAGTACGTCCCAGGGCTGGAAGCGCGTCCCTGGTACGGAGGATGCCGGGATGAAGGTTCGGGCAGCTCGGTTTGGGCGCGCGACGCTTGCAGAGCCATGCGGACGGCCATAGCAAGCCTTCGGCAAGAGTACAAAGCTTTGAAAGAAGCAGATAGGCTGCATTTGGAGGGCGAGTGCATTCATTCTCATCATCGCGGGCACTGGAGCCGCTTTGAAATCAACGCAATTTCAGAGACCATGGATTCTGGCACACCTCCCTGTGCAGTTGAATCGCCGGCAGCGTGCGCTTTGTTTCGAAGACTTCATGACCTGGGAGTTCCTGTCCTTCGAGCACCCAAGCTGCTTTAGTTTCAGAGCATTCGAATGCCATGGCAAGCATCGGCGAGGGCTTTTCCGTTATCACGCCAGGGAATCCTGGAACGTTGAAGGGAACACCATATTGAACCATATTGAACCGATCGTTTCGCTGCGCCCTGACATACCAAATGACAGCCAAATGCCAGGCTCCTCGCTGGCGCTGCACTAGGTCTGAAATGGCTAAGGGAATCGGGTCACGAAGATCATCTTGCTTTACTCATTGGGACTTTCCAGACCAGAGTTTTCCTGTGACGAATGACATGTGTCAAAAATGTGTGAATTTGGCATGATCCTGCATGTTCTTCGGCATGTTTCGCTGAGAGCGGGCGTTCACGTTTTGGAAGGTGCTCGGTCATGACAGTACAATGCAGCCAAACAGTGAAGTGCCACAGCGACGTTTAAACACACAGATGACCGTATTGTAAGTTGGAGCACTTTGCTGGAGGACGTCTTAAGTGGCACTGCGTGCTGAGGCAGGCTACTCTGCCCTGGCAGCCGGGAGTTGGTTGAAGCCACACTTTGGAAGAACTAACGCTCAGCTCAAGTGGCATGTGGGGCAACCTGGCTGCCATTCTGCTAGTGTCGCATGTGCATATGTGGGATTTCTAGTGCAAGCATCAGATGAAAGACAGTTTGCCTGAGGCTGCTCATTCCTGCGTCACCCTCTCCTGGCTGTGCGGCATTAAGAGTCGGCAATGAGACGAGGCGTTGGCATTCCGATGAGATAATGCATTTCGACGACTCCTTCGAACATGAAGTGTGGAATCAGTGCAGTGAGGAGCGGGTTGTCTTCCAGATTGTGATAGCGCACCCAGATGTGGCTTCAGCACCGCAAGCAGTTGATCATACAGCTGCTGGCTCAGACTTCTGCAAAGGCTCTCAGAGTGAGTCGTGTCACAAGTGACTCGCGCAGGTAACTGCAGAGGAAAAAAGCAGACGGGTGTGACACGTAGATGCGCAAAGTTAACAGCACGGGATGATTTGAAATTATGCTGCTTTGTTGGGTCTGTTGGGCAATATTGACCACCATTCAAGCAAGCGGTACCGGCCCTTCGCTCGCGGGCCTCTGGCTTGGATGTGAAGCTTTCCTAAGGCAACTAATGGTTGTTGCAGCCGCTAGACTTGTCACCCCGATTCTTCCAGTTTGAGCAGGCTAAGGTTTTCGAACAAAAGGCGGTAGTGTGCTCACTAGTTGCAATGTTATGCATTTAAACCTGTTAAAGGCTTCGTTGGTGACTTGGCGTCCAGAGGAAATGACCTTGCTGTACGCATGCAAGACGCTGTTCTGCAGTTAGATTGTTCAGACGCAGTTTGTCCAACATGCATGACGGATACAAATACAGATCAATGTGAGGGTTTGCTGTGGCTTTGGCATTTCAAGGGTTGGAGTGGTATCACGTGCGTACATCTTCCTTATTTCGTAAGTGGCATGACTTCTCTGTTGATCTCCATGCCAGGTCACCCAGGTGATGGGTTCCGGTGTTGAGGCTTGGATCTTACAAGCCGACTAGACACCAACCTGCAAAAGGACTGCAAGCCGTGTTAGTGAGAAGTCCATCAATGGCTGGTATGTCGCTCCTGTGATGGAAGGCAGTCATCAACTTTTTCAAGGATCGTGGGCCAAAGTTGCTTGTGCTTCAGGACAGCAGTAGATGACAGCGTCATAACTGCAAATCTTGGCGACCTTCCAGTCGGTCTATAGCCACAGTGCCGTCGGAACCATGAAAGACTTCTGACTTGGTCTGGGTTGAGCTCAGCTCAATCGTTTGGGTCTGTGGATGGGCAAGCAAAGTAGGCCCAGATGCTTGAGGGATGCTGACATGTGTGACATCCATTTGCAGGATGGCGTGAGCCTAGCGGACTCTGATGGGGAGGCGCTGCACTGAGCGCATGGCAGAGTGCAGTTTGGCCCAGCTTACTCCTTTTCCTGCCATCAAGTTGACGTGGCCTTCGGTTACCTTTCTGTCTTCGATGCAGGCCTTGCCAGAATTTGACATCCCCCGCAAGCCGGTCACCCACTGACTCTCGGCACGGTGTGGCGATGGAAACCTTCAGCTGACAACTTAATCAGCAAAATTGAAGGATCTTTAGAGTTCTCTGAAGGGGTCGAGAGAATCATTGTCCCTCATCCTGCTAAGCATGAGTCCCTCATGAGTCCCCGTCCCCATGTGAAGTCCCTTCGAGTATGCTGAAAGAACATCTGGAGCACTGGGAACCCTATGGCTTCACCTCCTGCAGATGGCAAAAGTTTCGAAATGTTCAATTTGGTCAGCACGTGTTCGGAATCACAATCACAAAGTCAAAGATGCTGGGGATAAACATGCAAAAGCTGGCATGTATGGTACAGTACTTGATTGCTCTGGCCACGACCTTCTTCTCGTAATGATGCTCAACTGCTCCGTGCCGAGACCCTAAGGTTGGGTGCAGGCCTGGCACGCTGTCCGAAGCTTCCCTTTGCCTCACTATCAGGGCTGCTAGAGTGTTGTTTGCATGCATGTCTCTTGCTTCAAGTTTCCACTGATGAGCCATGAACCTCTGTATCAAGCAGCCCATTACATGGCCTTCATGCGCTCTGCTACTGCAGTGCCTGGGGCTGCCCTTCCTACCGGTTCTGCAGTACATCGCCTTCTTGAATCATGTGGCTTGGTTCACACTACTTGCAACGAAGTCTTTCCTCGTTTTTGGAAAATCTTGCAACCCAGGACGAGGTTGTGACAGACTGGCATGCCTGACCTTAATTCCGTCTGGATCCCGAGGCCCAGCAAAGAAGTGTAGGAAGTCCTAAATTGCCCGGACTTCTGGGCCCCTTGCGAAACCTTTGCTTCGCACTTTGAGGACGATGTGTCACTAGAGCACATCCGTATAGTCTCTGTACAGGGTAGGTTTTCAAGCTCTGAGCCTGGATTGTACAGTTTCTGTCACCGATTTCCAGCTGCAACTCTCTCAACAAGAAACGGCTATTAGAACTTCCAATTCCCAGATCTTGATGTTGAGAGATTTGCTGCGGGTATGCATTTGAAGGGATGGCATCTCCGTGCCCCAGCCATGTAGTGCGGCATTGACCGCTACCTGCCTGGCGACTCTCAGGAATGGTGGCGGTGCCCCTGCTCTTGAAGCAGCGTGGACCTTTCTGGGCTTTGTAGACGGCCGGTGATGGCTGGGCTTTGATGACAAAGACTCTGATGATCATTTGTCAGAGCTCAGGCACCCGGTTTAATGATGCGCCGGAACAGCAAGAAAAAACAACTAAATGCACTGGGGGCCCCTTTCGTAATACCTGCAACGTCTTATGCACTGCATTTGTAAGGCTCACCCATCGCTCTTCAATCCCGGCGTACGAGAGAAGGCCGATATCCCAGGCTAGGGTCGCCTCATATTTGAAATGGTGCGTGGCGAGCAAAAGCTGCAGCATAGCCAAGGCTTTGAAGCGATCCCTTCTACGCGCTTGAAGCTCGAGCCCGTCGGCGTGCACGAATTTCTCATCATGTTTTCTCAGAAGTTGAGTTGAGGCACTTGGCGAGGCGCGTGCTCGTTCCGGCTGCAGTCGCATGTCTTCAGCAGTGCTGCTGGGGGAGGTTGGGAGATGTTGGCAGTTGAGCTCCACATACATCGACCAAAGCCAGATCACCAAGTCAGGTGGCCCAAGTGACAGCTGGTGCAGCGCTGGTGTTCCTGCGAAGGCACTCCAGGTCCCAAGCTTCCCCTGTACCAACGAATACCAGAAGACCAACCATGGGCTTCTTGTGAGATCTCGAAGCGCCTCTTTGGACTTCGTAAATTAAAAGCCGAACAAGTGACGGTTGTGGACAGATACCTTTATAATCATTGCTCGCCGAAGCACGTGGAAGTGTTTGGACACGCAAGGGTTCGTGAAATTGAATCAAGAACATGGGCCCCAGAGCCTTCGCGGGAGACCCAAGCAAGCTCCTGGGCGGCGAAACAGGTTACATCACCGAGTGTAAGATGTTCAGATGTGTGTTCTGGCAGGCCAGACTCCCTTTTCCTAGAGGCATTGCCTGCCCAGGTCCCAGGCTTACTTCTCCAAGAACTGGATTGTCAGCTGATGCATTGGACTATTGCCTGTGTTGGCACCAGCACCTTGCTTTTCATTTGCTGAGGGCTTGCCAGCACTAGAGCCCGACATGGAGCCACCGGCGGCAAATGCCACGGAAGACCAGAGCGTGCGTGGCCAAGCCCGTAAGGAACAAAGGTCTCAATTGCTCTGAGCAGTGCGCATGGCCGCTGAGGGCAACCATGAGGTTCTCATTCGCCATGATACTCAGGCTGATATCTTCACTTCACTGCCAGTGGCAAAAACCCGAGCTTCACTGGCAAGGGGCTCAAAAAGGAAGTGCTGAGAGCCATGAGGCCAAAGCGCAGCCACTGGAAGCTTCGGCCGCCGCCGATGCTGTCAAGGCTGGAAGCCGTGGTCATGTCGTGGCCCGTTTCTTTCAGAAGACTTGCACAGAGTGCTTCTAATGCTTGCTAGAGGGTTGACCTGGCTGTGGCAGTGGCAGCACCATTTTCAACATATTCTGTGCCGGAGGATGTTCTCCTGCGCTGCCTGCCGGCATTCCGTTTGGGCGTGAGTGGTGACTGTTTGACCCACATCATCCGGCTTACAGAGGCCTGCGATGCTGTGACTTGTTTGTGCAGCCGTCGGCCATTGTCGAGCAGTCAAACGGCATTCGCATTGACTTGGCATTTTCCTGCGAGGCTCCTGCATTCTTTACGATGAGCCACAAAGAGAAGGCCTTTGAGGCACATGGTCTGGTCATGATGCCGATCTTGGAGATCTGTCAGAGAGTGTTGGGGAGGATGATGGAGAGGGCTCTCAAGACAGTTGTCAGGTTGTTTCAGGTCTTCTGAGTGTGATACCTTGTATTGTAATCGAATTTTCAGTGCGCCTAGGAAGCAGTTCCAGAGCCAGCACACTGGTTTGATGAAACTGCTTGTACATGAGCAGATGCGTGTCCAGGGCTTGAGAACAGTTGTCCCCAAACCGCATTCGCCCAACAGATGTTGAAGGAGGTCTCCACACAAGCCCTTGCGTGCCGTACCTATAGATTAGCCACTTAGCAGAGGTCTCGGTTCAGTCCATTGCAGACAACATCATCGCGGAATGGCACCAGCCACGGTGAATGTATTTTTTCTGCACGATCCAGTGCCAGCGACCTCTGATCCTCCCTCTCCTTCAACTTCGTCTCTGAGGCTGAGACAACCTGATTGTGCCATCATGCGGACGGACGCATCTTGCTTAGGCCCGGCATTGATTTCATGAGAAGCAGCAGGTCCGTCGTGATTCTATTTTTCTCGGCCACTGCCATCATGCTACTTCGAATGGTTGTTTGACATGAGTGCATTGCAAGACTCCAAACCTCGCAATGGCTATGGCCAGAGAAGACTAATTAGAACATGTTGGATGGTAGAAATTCATGAACTCATGAGACGCTTTGACCACCAGTGGCAGTAGTGTAGGGACGCACTTCGGGACTTAAGATTTGCTGCTCTGCAGCCCGTAGATCAAACGTCTGCCCACCTCTGCCATGCTCGTGAAGTTTATCTTGCCAGATCATTGTTGTAGCTTGGAAATCAAAAAGCTTCCTGTAAGCCGTGGGGCTTTACATCCGTGCCTCCTTTCTTGCAGGTTTGGGCTGCGCTGTCGACATAGACCACGACGACAAGGGCATCGTCTTTGCGTTCGTTGTCTGAGCAGTCGATCCTGAGCTCGTGGAAAAGAGCTTATAGATACCAGGCTTCTGCTGGACGATGGCTAGTTATCAGCCGAATGCAAAGGACGTGATCATTCTGACAGACTTTCCAAAAAGGCGAGATGTGTTTATTGTATAATGTTTATACCATGGTTACCCTTCGACTGTCGGTATATCAGAAAAGCTTTCATTTGCACATGCTTGACAAGTTCGGGTTGTGCAGAATGGATAATCAGGACTTCATGCTGAGATAGAAGCATTCCGCGAGGACATTGCTTTGCAAACGCCTGCAGCTGTTGAGCGAATTCCACAGCACACACAATCGGCATAACAGCTACTGACGGCAGCACGGAAGCCCAACATAAGCCAAATGCGATGCTGGCAAAGTGCATGGATATGGGACCATGAGATGCCAGCCCGAACCCTTCGAATCCTAATACTTTTACCACTATTACCATTCTCAAGTACTATTCTTCTTACGACTATTATAAGAAGTCCTACATTACTATCATTATGATCACTCTTATTACAATTATAAATATTATTACCCCTATTTTTATTTTTGCTATTTTTCTAATCCTTGTGAGCCTGAAACCTGACACTACCCAGGCGATTAGTAGGGAATATGGGAATAGTCTTGGGGGGAAGATAGGGGAATGGAAGCTACAGCATTATACTACGGTATGGGTAGCTTATATAGGGGCAATGCGGGGATAATGGACAAGAACATGGAAACTACTACATTACAGCAGGGATCCGTAGGGTATTTTCAAGACCTCAACCCTTCGCTGCTATGGTCGCTGCTTGCTGTCGCTTTACCTGATCACACTGCCGCTCCCAGCGTGCTCCTGCAGCGTAAGTGTTGTGATGAGAGTGGATTCCTGGAGTTCTAGGCCTGAACCCTAAACCCTAAATAGTGGCTTTCATTTTCTTTTCCATTACCCCTATATAACCCTTATGTTACCCCTATATAGTCCCCACCCGAAACCCTGAACCCTAGGGGGAGGGGCTTGGTTTGAAAGTGGGTTGTTAGACGTTTCTCTTCATGAATAAATTCGCAGCTGTAATAGCCTTTCCAGTGCACATCTTCACAAAGCCTAGTTTGCCAGAACCATCCCTGCATGCGGAAATCAAGATCCTTTTACGCGCTAAAGGGATCACCCGTTTTTGCTATTTTGTCACGACTTGGTGTGATTTCTTACTGTGCAAGAGACATTGCTGCTTTGAGTCCATACGCCTGGTCCCCAGCACAGCCCGCCCCCTTTTATGTGGTCCTAAGCGAGGGCGGGGGGGGGGG